TGACTCCTTTTTTATATATATATATTCTTCCTCTGGTGGGGATAAAAAAATAAACAGCAAAGCTTTGACAACAGCACCTTGACATTGTAATTTCAACATTACCTTGAGAAGTTTAGAACAGTAAACAGATAAATCACTTGAGAGGAAAATAGTTTTCTGCTGCAAATGTAAACTGATTTTTTTTTCCTGTTTTTTTTTTGGTCAGCAATGTATCCTTTTTTTTGGTTATTTGGAGGAATTCTCAAATCACAATTGAAGCAGCATGCAAGCCTTTGAAGATGAAACTGTCCTCTCCCTTTCTTTCCTTGCCTTGCCCCCCCGCCTCGCCCCTCCTCCACTTTCTTGATAATTCTTGGCAACATTAAACAATTCACAATGTATTGAGGAATGTGATACAGTAATTTAAACTGGGCGCAAATGACTGATCAGATTTTTTTTAATTGTTTACAAGGTCATGAATATGTTCAATAAATAGACTGTAGTATCACCTTTACTGTATAAACTTCATCTTTTTTTTACATGCAGTCCATAAAATTTTCATTTGACGGAATAATTTACCCTGTTATGTATATATACAAATAGATATTTTCTCTTTATTCTCTTTTTTAAACTCTTCAATAAAATCTATACATTTTATACACTATCTCCCTCTTTTAATGGTCAATGTGCATACACATGAAGTGTCTATCCTTATAAACCGCCAGCCAATCTTCTTTTTGCTATCCATGGTAAGCGCTCGCACATAGGACTGGGTTGTCCTGCATTGGGAATTGTAATGCCGCTTGTCTATTCCTCTGCAGCCGTCCTTTGTGTACCCCATGGGGTTGCATTTGGTCTCATAAAAGTATTGCTTCAGTTGGCCATTGGGGACAGGGACCTTTTCCATGACGGTAACTGTCTGCCCAGACATGTCTATTGCCGTCTTTTTATCCACAGCTGTCACCCACTGGCTAATACTGTCACACACACTGAGCTCTCCACGTCGTGAGGGATCGGAGTGTCGCCGCACCCTCATGGACATGTTAGCGGCGTCCAGATAGTTTTTGTATTCCTCCAGCAGAAAGAGCAAGGGCGGCTCCAAAGGCACTTGGTTGCTGATCATCACCCGCGAGTCGTACAGGTTGACATCCTTGTTCTCTGCGGTGACCACAGAGGACGGGCCCCCACCTCCCTGGCTCTTATCAGCCCCCTGTCCCAGCTGTGCCGCCTCTCCCTCCACCTCCAGCAGCTCTTCTATCACTTGCTCAAATGTGTCTGTGAGTGAGGGCAGTTCCCCACGCTGGCCTGGCCCACCACCACTCTGTGGAGTCCCATGGCCTCGGGCGGCTGTCGCAGCAGCAGCGCCCAAGTAGCCTTCCGTCCGATGGCCCCGCATGCCCGGGGCGTCTCTCAGGGGCACAGCTCTCATGCAACTGAAGTATGAAATAACCATAGTAAGGAACAGGATGGTCATCACTCTTCTAACCTGGTGGAACTGGAGGGGGGGACAAAGAGAACAAACAACAGAGGAAGAAAAGGGGGGTGGGGGGGAAACAAGATTTAGGGAATTAGTCAAAATGCTTTTATTTGAAATTTTGTTTGATCATTAATGGATCACAGAAGCCCCTTTGTTTATTTTCGACCTTTTTTGAAAAAAAAAAAAAAAAAAAACCCAAGAAAAACAAGGCGAGCTCAGAGCTAGAAATATATCAGTAAATATTTTTATTCAACTATCATTGGCACGGTGTCTCCACTGTTTGCAAACAGTAATCATTCTGTGTCTATGTGAGGTCTGGCTTAGATTTTTATTTGTTGGCAGTAGAGACACAAAAGCTGTGCAGAGTATCAGAGAGGCTGTTTATTACAAAAGATAAACCACACAAATAGACGCTGCTACATACGCTTACGGACCTGCTGTTATTTACAAGTCTGTTTTCTACTCGTGTGTTAACCTGCAAAGCTGCCATTCGTTTCTGCAGAAACAGGAGAATGTGCTGGTTTATTACGGTCAAATGGACCATTCCTCTATTCATCACTGTCTGCCTGGAAAGGTGGAGCTAACGTGTGGATTTCTTTAACATTTTCAATCATTTATAATACACACAGGTTTGTATTTTACTCAACATTTGTATTTGAACAAGAAATACGAGAATAGTTTGTCTGTACAGAATGAATAAGTTGGAATTCCAGACGTGGGGAGTGAGCCGTGTGCTGACAGATGTTCTTGGTTTACACGAGGACATTTTTCTGTTTGTTTTGTTTTGTTTGATCAGCTCCTCTACTGTGTTTTGACTGTAAACCCCTGCTAAACCTCCATTAGTAACTCACATGCACTCACCGACTGCCTTAGTGGGAACTGTGCTGTTTGTTTCAGCCCCTGACAAACACCGGCGCTGCGGCGGCACAGCCTGTGCTCTTGAATCGGTTCATACTCATGAATGGGAGGCAGGAGTTTGTTGAGGGACACTGTTTGTTTTTTGGCAGGTGGATGGCGAGAGCACCACGGGGATGAACTAACAGGATGTCACGGGAGAAGTGAAAGGCAGAGAGATGCGTCATGCTGTGCTCCTCGCACTGTAAAGTACCAGCCTCAAGGCTGTGAACAGCAGCTCACACTACAAGCAAAGCACTGGCTGGGGGGTGGGGTGGGGGTCGAAGCCAGGTGTAGCCGAGACACTGCACATACATCTTTAACTGGGGAATCGTCACCTCGTATGCATCTCTTACCTTTGAGGAGGTCTCAAATTCACAGCAGTCAGTAAACAGGTAGGCAGCCAGCAGCCAGAGATATAAAAGCATCCATGGTGAGAAAAAAATCTAGCTCTTGCTTGCCACAGGGGCTCATTTAAAAATAGCTGGACACAGGCTTTAACTGCACTCTGCATGTCCCAACCTGATACAGGAAGAAACACACCCTGCAAACACACTCCCCCACTCAGGATGGACATGTGGACCTTTACAGTAGGGAGGAGCAAAACCCCACCTTAAAAGCATTTGTTTCATTCTTAATTGGTATCTAGGGCCGTGGCTGCAATTAACCAACACCGCGGTGACTGCCATAGAGGTATCTCATCTAAAAATAGACGTGCTTGGAGTCTCACAGGCTCTATTCAAAATATCACATCCTTCTTCTTAATGAGCCACTCATTCTCCAAGCTCTGTGACGCGCTCCTCCAGAGTGTGTGAGTGTATGTGTTAGGGGGAGGGCTTTTATGTGTGTGTGTGTGTGTGTGTGATTGCAGAGAGCTGAGGGTAAAACAACAATGTGCACCAAGCCCTCAATAAAGTACAAATCTAAACTATATCTTTTATTATTATTTATTATTGTTATAATTATTATTATAGTCAGTCGTGTACAGAAGGAAACCATGACCGTTGACACCACAGTGGGGGCTGGTGTTTCGGTTCCAACAACAAAAATATTCTGTGAGGCTTCCCGGCACAGAAAATCATGTAGGTTTACGGGATGGAGGCCAGTCACGAGCTTTATGTGTAGGATGCATTTAGGCTGATATTATTATCAGCATCAAGCTCAAATGGTTCCACTTCCACATGGGGGAAATGACGGCAGAGAGCTGATTACTGTTAGGCGTCAAACTTCATGCTGGAAATGGTGCAGACGAAGATTGCTGCATCTTCCGTAAGAGACCACAGGGGTAATATTGCAGTAGCAGGGGGCGGAGAGAGTGCCGGCGTCATTTCGCAGCATAACAACCACAGATGACGTCTCTTCCAGGTCTCCATAGGGGAGAGGATGGAGAGAAGGAGGTTGCTGGGGGTAATGCCATTCAACAGTGTGCAATTGTATACCAATCCCCCGGGTATCCTCACACCGGGAACAACAAATGATTTTATTTCTATCTATGTGATTTCCTGTTTCCATCAGGACAATCAATATGGCTTATGCTCTCAATCAACATCCTGTTAAAATGTGATAAAGCAAACGAATCATTTAATTGCTTTGGGACAAGAGAAGGAGCGCTGGCTTATGTGTTCTAGGGGGTAAATGTGACAACTGATTGTGTTGCTCTGCTTTTAAACATCCAGGGGCGGAACATCTTACGTGCGCGGCTGGGTTTAACAGTTAATAAAAAAAACAGCCTGTGTGTTAACGTAATGGGCGTACATAATAAAGACAGCGAGGAAATTCAGACGCAGGAATTTCTGGAACACAATCCCATTTTTGCAGCTTTTGGCCAGTCACTGTTTGTGTTATGAAAAATATACGCGTCTTACGTGAAACTACAACACCTCACACCTATGGAGCAATCTGAATGTGATACGACAACTCTGGTCTGATCAAAAGCATAAATCTCCCCTGTGATGAGCACCCAGATGATGACATGGAGAGCAGGGGAATAAAGCATGCAATAACTGCTTTTCAAACAGGCCTTTATGCACAACAACACACCCAGAACAATGGGAGCAGGTGAGTGTGTGGTTAAGCACTTGGCTTTGACATCTCCAGATGACCACCTGTTCATCTGCACCGCGAGCACGATTGTATGACAGGGATATGTAACTTACCCTTGCACTTATTCTTTGTGCCAGGTGGGGATTAAAGTGATAAATGCTCCCTTTGACAGACGCTGAAAAGTTTCTCTAAAGCATGAAAGGACTGGCATGACTGGTATTATTACACAGTCAGTAATGTTCCCCGGTCTCACTGCACATGTCAGCACACTTTATGGCTTCATTTTCACCAACAGCCTGCCCAACGTCTTCGGAACCGTTACAAGCAGAACATAAACATCAAGGAGGAGAGGTGAACGAAGGAAATGTGTGGCGACTTTCAAATACAAACGTGTGACCGATAACAACATTTGTTCTCTGCCTTCACCACCGCTCCCTGGTGGGCATCTGTTTTTGTATAGTTCCTAAAGAACTGTGTCGGCATCGGCTATTCACCTAGCAACATGTTTTGTCATGTTCGCCACGTATAGCTCTCCAATGGCGATTTAAAAACCCCCCCACACATGATATCAAACTTTTTTTCTTTTTTTTTCCTTCGGCACGTTTGTGCCACAGTGCAGCGCTATTTGAAAGAAGGGCATTTTGTCTGCAGTAATGGCTGACACATGTGGAAGCTTGCTTCTTGGAGATCTGTTTTCAATCTGATGCTGACGTTTTAGAGCAGGTTTGGTAATAGATGAGCATTACTTAGGGATTATACCTGGCCTCTAGGTCAACCACAGACAGTGCCACAAAAAGCCCAGTATTCACACAACCGCTGAGTGATTTATGTTAAACAAATAAACCGCTACATCCCTCCCACTGTGTGTGCATCAGTGGAAACCAGACAGAATAAACCGTATAAATTCACTTTAATGTAAGACCCTTAATGCTCAAAGCTCAATGTTGACAGTCTTGACGAATTGGAATTTTATACTGTGTGCCATCTCAAATAGAAACTGCGTGAAGTTAAATGAATCTGTATCCCTTTGAAAGGGCAAAAAACGAATAATAAATATTTTACCGGTGCATTTATTTCTACTGTTTGGAGGCGACCATTATGGATGAGTCAACAAGAGACAGAGTGAAAACCTTTTCCTGTTTTGTTGAAGATCAGGTTTGACAGGTGAATGGCATTCTTTAACTACAACGGCGAATCATTTAAACCTTAATATGAAATCTAACTTTTAAAAGCCAAGTAACCTACAGGTTCAAATCAACAGCGCTGCAGTACTATATATTGTACACTAGGTGGCGCATGAGACCATGAAATGATGTAGACTTTCTCCCTGCAATATCTTTTTCTCTCCATCCTCACGCCTACAGACAGACAGACAGACAGACAGATAAACAGACAGATAGATATACAGATTGATTCCAGACTGTGCGTGATTGTGAATGTGACATAAACTTCACTCATGGTATTTAGTCACAACCCAGAGAAGAATTTTGGCCCCAGTTCACATTTTTTGTGAAGACCATCATCCGTCTCAGTTAGATCTTGGACAAGATATTCTCACATTAGGGCTTTCTCAGACGCCGGCACACATTTGGTTCCCATGCACCACCGCCATAAACCAGACTATGGTTTTAATCCGTGCTCATTCTGTCCAGTGTGGTCTGGGGTTATTCAGTCACAGAACACACAACACAACACCCAGAAGTCGACTCTATACTCCGTGTATGTTGGCCGACCAAGCTGCTGGGAGTTTAGGTCTCGGGTTTCCTATAAAGTCTTAATGAGTTCATCAAAGTTTCTCCCTCTCGTTCTCTCTCCCTCTCTCCCGTTCCCCCCTCTCTCTTTCTTCCACCCTGAACTCTATTCCGCTCCAAAACAACACTATAGAAACCGTGTGTAGGTTTGTGTGTGGTCACAGCCATAGTGGAGGAGGGTGTTGAGGTCAAATGAGCAAAAATGCGGGCAGGCAACCAGAAACACAGAGTTTAGTGGAGCTGTTTATGTGCGTAAAAAGTTGCCGTCAAACCCACGGCCGTCGCTGACGCAGACGCACGATGGATCCTGTCCAATAAAGTAGGGGAAAATTTAACAACCAGTCAATTTACTCTGACTGTTCTATAGTCGGGATGAAACGACGTGTGTGTGTGTGTGTGTGTGCGTCTCTCTCTCTCTCTCTCTCTCTCTCTGTGTGTCTTTCTGTGGAGATTACATCTGCTGAGCCTGTGCTCTCCACTGGAAACCCAATCAACATAATAACTCCGTTTTTTATTAATGAACGGGAGGATAAAGTTACGCATATCCCCTCTCGCTGCGGCGCAGGATAACCGGACTTGATCGCGGTACTTTTGACACACATACACACACGCACGCGTACACACTGCGTAATAATAATAATAATAATAATAATAATAATAATAATAATAATAATAATAATAATAATAATAATAATAATGAAACTACACACATACCTTTCACTGTCCAGTCGTAAAACAGACCATTCAACAGGACAGGGGTGTCATCTGGGATGAGTTGGACAACTCCCTGAGTAAATTGGACTTTAAGCGATATTTTCCCTCTCTCGGAACCACCAACAAGCTTCAGGATATCTCTCTCTTCTGCTTTTGGAGCAAATAGATTAAATTATTGATGGTGGAAATTGCATGGCTGAGGTAATGCACTCCCATGGCTGCACGGCTCCAGTGGAGATCGCCTGAAACTGAAGTTGTCGCATGCTGAAACGCCACAGCGGCACACACAGCACCACTGGATGAGGGAGCAATAGAAGGAGAGAGAGAGAGAGAGAGAGAGAGAGAGGGAGAGAACACTCCGGAGCCGAAATGAGGAGCCTCTCGCAACTACAGTAACTTTACTACACAATGACGCTGCAACATGTGACCTATCACTGGCTGACTGGCCGCCACCGAACTCCAGTTTAAACAGCCCGTAGGCGGAACTATTACTGCGCCCTCAGTGCGCATTGCTGTGTGCTCTTTTGTTTGTCCGCATATACCGTGCTGCCCGCACATACACCACAACGCCTGGTGATCAAACATAAGCCAAGTCCATCCTCTTCCGTGTTCTGATCACCGGAGCCAAAAAGGTGGCACATATTTGTGACGGCTGAGCGTAACGTCTCTAAACCAGCAAGTCGTGATGCACGCCTTCGAGCAGAAGTGGTCCATGTGTGGAAAAAAAGCATCGCATTTAGAAACGCGTGAAGAAATGACTCAACTGATATCATACTTATCTTGAAGAAAAACTATTTTTGTATCTCACGTGTTCTCTTTAGATTTTGGTTGTTCCAACTAATGGCTGTCGTCTTGGTGTACAGATCGGCCCAGAGGATGTTTACAATTATGCTGTTTTATCAGTCTGTCCAAACATTTGGATGCCAACAGTCACCCGAGCCCGAGAAATATGTGACCTTCTTGGAAACAAGTCCGCATATCTTTGCTTTGAAGAAGAACCGTGTTCACCACAGATGGAAGACAGCCCTCAAGTCTTTGGCAGCACACACAAACCAGCTTTCTCAGGTTATTGAAATACACAATCATGGCCGAACTCGTATTATCGAATGTCAGCTGAAGACGTTTAAATGGAATACGGAGAGGTTCCACATAAAACTAAAACCACTTCTTGTTGGTTCATCAGGCACAAACGGGGAAAGTTTCTCAGGCGAGATTCAAATAAACACATCAGGGAAGCCATAACCGTTCATTGGGAGAGCAAAAGGTTTGGAAACTCCGCCTCTGATGAACACAGGGGTGAGCATAATGGGGGAAACAACGGCTCATTATCCCTGTAACCTGGCCTGGGTCCAGTGCAAAGATTTATTGTGATGTGATTGTTATATTGCCATAATGATTCTTCCCTGCACGAGCTTGTGAGCCGGAGAGCTCTTGTTTGGCATGTAACAGTATGGAGTGGATGCACACACCTGCTTAATGAGTCACACCCACCTCCAAAACACCCGGGGACATGCCAAGATAGATATAGCCCTCCCTGAAGGCTCACAGGAGGTGAGGGCAACTCTGGATGACAAAGAGTTGCATCAGCAATCACTGAGCGACATGACTCCAAAGAGGATAAAAACGCACGCCGCACAAGGGGGCTGTTCCAAACAAGTAATTCATAAATAAATCACTTGGCATCTCATTAGAAGAGCAAAAACAACAACATGGTCTCTCATTTTTGCAAACACAGCACAGCTGAAGGAGCTGCATCAAGAGGAGTCTTGGCTGGCATGCGTGTGAGGCTGGAGGGACCAAAATTATGAATGAAGCCAGTAAAAGGAGTGGGCAGAAGGAGCGTACTGAGGAGTTTTTGGGGTCTTCAGGGTCAAAAAGGAGGCACGGCAGCACCGGCTTCACTGGCTACAGTCCACCTGAACGCTGCTTGAGGACTATGTCATCGGAACTGAGGTGTACGATTTCTTTAGGTTTAAGATTTCCCAATATGGCGCCAGTGACAATGACTTCTGAGGTGTTGGGTTGAAACCCTTTTGTCTTTGCCTGTAATGTGGCAATTTTTTTTTTTTACAGGTTTCAATCACCTCGTCCAAGTCTACACACCTGATTCACAGCATCAGCTGGAGAAGAGTGTTCACATCTTGGCCGCTCACTATCTTTGTGCCTGTTTGTTTAGCGGAAAAGGCTGTTCGAGCTTGCAGGAGCCGAGAGCACGACACACTTGTGTAACATTTCAGGTCTTCTTTTGCCAGATGCAACACAGTGCTGACAGCTTCCCACTGACAAAAGCCTGGCTTAACAAGTGGAGTTATGCCTTCCTTATGTCTGAAAGAGAAAACATGTAAGACGGCTTAAATGACATTTGCAGAAATGTCATTTTCACCGGGGGACGCGGGGCGGTGATGTGGGGATTTGGATGAAAGGGACATTGGATTTCTACTGGAGCAGAAAACGCGTCAGCTGAGGAAACATGTTGTACGAGGTGTGGTGACGTCAAACAGAGCAGAGGAGAGTTGAGAAAATCTAGAGTGGTGGATGAGGGCAGCTTTTTTTATAGTCACATGACGGCGTGAGGAGCTAATGCCATCCTGCTCCTGTGATGTCATTAGCATTTTCTTTTTACCTTGAATCACAGATGAGCAGTCTGCAAACACGTGCTCCTTAGATTGATTCCTATGAAGTGACACAGACTAAGAACAAACCATCACCCTGTCTGTCTGTCTGCCTTTCACTCTGTTTGCCTATCTGCTCCCTTGACTCACACCCCCTTCTCCCTGCCCTCCACCACATGCCCTCCCTCCCTACTTCACAATTCAATATTAGAACAGCACCAATAACCTTTGCACGGTTATTAATTGCTAATGAATGAACACACACCAGTCCGACGTGCCTCATAACGAGCGAATAGCGCATTTCATCACTTAGGGAAAAGAAAAAAAATGAAGAGTGCATAGTACAACAACATCTCACAGACATCCCTGATCTGATTTAGCCAAACAAAGTTCCACATGCGCAACGCAAATCGGATGTTGTCATTCATAAAACAAACACATACAACTTATAATTTATAACCTGCCTCCCCCTCCCCCCTCGCCCCCCTCTTTCTCTGTATGTGCGTGTATGTTTGCGTAAGTAACGCTCGCATCCTCACGTACAACGCATCATGAAGCGTCGTAATCCCGCAGTGGTCCGCAAATGTTAAAAAAAAAAAAACCCAACCTCCTCTAACAGCCAGATCAACTACATCCACTGTCACTTGTTTATTAATAACTCATATCGTGGGCTTTGTCACTTTCTAAATCCACAGTCACACAGTCACAGAGTCACACTGTGACGAATAACTGATAATTAAATGTTTGGGAGAGGAAAAGGCTTCGCCTCCTGCCAGAACTTGTTTAAACAAGCCTGTTAATTGGATGAAGGTGTTGGCGATGAAGTAGATGAGGATGATGCTGATGGCGACTCAAGTCGACGCAGAGCCGGCGGCTGGCGACGTATGGCTCACATTCCCATAATGATGGAGATGATTAATTTTGCTCTAAATATATCGTGACGTCCATTCAGCCGCCAGTCTCGATTTCCGCCACCCCAAAAATAATCAACAGCCTATTTATAATTTACGTCATCAGACGTGTGAGCTCGGATAAATGGAGACACATTAATGAATGAACGCATGTGCCAAAAGTGGGCCAGCAAAATCCAAACGGACATTTATTTTTTTTTTAAAAAAGACACACAGCAAATACATGATATTTAAAGTCAAATAAAAAAAAATCCCTTCCGTCCAAAAAGTGCACAAGAAATGATCGCAAACGGGCAGACACACACAAAGGCCAACGAGTACGTTGTGAAATAATAAATAAAAAAAATCAGAAAACACAAAAATCTAGTAGATAGTACACATATCAACAGTATATGATTTTGTGCCGAAAGTATTTATTATTATTCTCCTCTCTATCAAATAAAAAAGGGCCTACCGAAAGAATTTCATCTGATTTTTGCGGAGAAAAACCTACCATCAGGTTTGTTATTGACGCCCACCCCAACTCTGCAGAGCTGAGTGCAGAGAGACAGAGAGACAGCGAAGGGAGAGAGAGAGAGAGAGAGAGAGGAGGGAGATTCTCGGTAAAGATAACGCACGCCCCTGCGCACGCACGCAGGCGCGGGTGCACACGGACGCACGCCCGCACACAAGCGCACGCAGCCCCATTTATGGAGTGATCCGCTGACGTACATTGCAGAAAAGTGCTATAAAAAAACCTTCATACATACAAAGTGTGTCGTGCCACCCCACAGACCCCTCCTAAACCGCCTCCGCTCATCCCTCCTCCTCCACCCAACACGCCCACGCCCACACCATAATCCCACGTCTCCACAGATAGGAAAAAAATGTTGTTAATAATAATAATAATAATAATAATAAAAATAAAAATACAGCTACGTGAACATAAAATAGGCATTTTGAAAATAAAATAAAACGCACGTTTAGAAAAAAAATCATAACAAAGACGCTGCAGAAAATAACCATCTGCGAATGCATTTGAAAATAAACACAGAATTAATTCCTTTAAAATTGCACTTTTTTTTAACCCGACGTAACTATAAGCTCGTCACTTTCGTTAGATGAATAAGTGGCTCCTTATAATTTGCGCCATAAACAGCTTTGTTGCCTTTATGAGCCCGAAAGGTGTCTTTCTACAGGGGAAGCAGGATTTTATTAGGGAATGTGTTATGGTTTATTTTATGAATGTGGCCCAGACTAATATGTAATCTGGTCTTTTGCGGTTTGACTGTCATATTAAATATGAGGAGTGATGGCAGACAAATTGAGAAAGCAGGGAAGTGCCATTATTCATAAATTAGGGAAATTTACTGTAAACCTTTGGATTGGAAGAATTTATTTGGAGAGAGGATTTGATTGGAAGAGTGGGCGTTAGAGGGCTTTTCTCTCCTAAACTCCGGTTTTTCCATGCGAATCTAAGAATCTTTGAGCAGAGGAGAAAATAGGAAGAGAGGAGAACGAGAGAAGAGGGGAAGGAGGAGGAGTAGGTGGAGGGAATAAGACAAAATATCCACCGCTTGAACATGGGAGAGGGATGGAATTTTTTTTTTTTCAACTCCCTCATAAAAGCGTGGAATTAAAATCCAGCCGCCGCGTTTGTTTTGGTCATCTTAATCCCGCGGATTGACGAGACAGAATTGCGCACATTTCCATACGAAAACACACACACTCACACAAAAGAAAGAAGAAAAATAGAAACAAAAAAACACAACGATTTTTCCAGAACAAGTGCCTATCAAGCCATCTTATCTCCATCTCTCCACACCACACGTCCACAGCCATAACATCTGTCAGCGGATGCACTTTGACCACGCCCATTTTCGTTGTAATTTTTACATGGGAATAATCTGAGAATTCACCGTGAAGGACTGTGGTTACAAGAGGGGAAATAAAGCAGGCAGAATATGGCACAGGACGCAGGGGTAACAGCTAATACATTTATATATCAATCAGTCTGTCGTTTTCTTCTCTATCTTTTTGTCTATTTCTCCCCCTCCCCGAAATATTACGCGGCCAGGACGACACAGAGCCGTGCATGAATTTTTGGGCAAAAAGGGGGAGAAGGGGAGGCAGGGCAAGGCTGGAGGGAGGCAGGTGAAGCCAAAAGCACCTTATGAAT